TGTGTTTCACCCGGAAGGCTTGCTCAGTGGCTTCACCCAGAAGGCTTGCTCAGATGTCAGAATGAGGAAACTGGGTTTAGGATAGCCCATTCCACTAACGTTGAGGGATATGGCTGCTTCCTTCCTGGTTGTTGGGATGGCCCTAGGTCTGACGGTGCAAAAATACTCTAATTTGGTGGTAGGTGACAAAGATTTCCTAGGATCTTATTTCCTAGAAAATCAGATTCCCAGCCCCACTCTGACACTGCTCTTCTACTGCTTATACACCCACCACTGTGCTCTGGTCCTGTGTCTTCTTTCCTTATCTCCTCCTTGCCACAGCTGTGCCTGAATAACAGGTGTCAAAGCCAAGGCCCAGAAACTTTATATTCCTTTCCCCAATGCGCAGGACCAGCAAAGAAAGTCAGAATTAAAACTGGAGTGTTGGCAGGGCATTGTTCCAGGCACCTTTAGCACAACACTCAGGTGGCAGAAGCAGATAGATCTCTGAGTTTGAGACCAGCCTAGGGAGTTAGAGGACAACTAGGGTGACATAGTGAGACTCTGTCTCAAGGGGAGGAGGGGTGCACAGTCAGGTTATTATAACCATCATCAATATCTAACACTGCAGGGCATCATGTTCCTCCCTGACACTAGGCACCGAAGGTGAAATGTACAGGGAGGGGCCCTGGGGTCACATTTCTTGACAGTGAGTCACTAATGCAGGAAACACAAATTCTATATGAGCTGTCCATTTTGTAGGAGAGGCAGTAGGGCTCAGGACTAAGAGGGAAGAGGAGACTCATGGCCCACCTGGAGCATATCCATCCTTGACAGCCCCAGGCTGTGTGATCACTGTTGACAGCTCCTTCAGTAATTCCCTGTGGCTGCATCGACCCTTCACTCGAAGTCATTCCCTTGAATTATGATCTATTTCTTCTATTTCTTAGGTCATCAATATTCCTTTGGGTTCAGTGTTCACATTTCAGTACTCTTTGTAGATGAACGGGTCCAGGTTCCTTTAACATCCATCTCTATGATGGCAGTTTTCAAATTCATCTCTCCAACCTTCGCCCAATCTGAAATTACAGACCCAAATCCTTAAATATTTCAGTCTTTACTGGCTAAATCCAAGGTTTACACACACACACACACACACACACCCTAGCACCCAAATCCAACATTTCCAAACCCAAATTTCTTATCTTCACCCTTCCCAATGAGGTCTCAGTTTGGGCCTTCAGTTTCTTGTCTAGACAGTTGTTTGTTTGTTTGTTTGTTTTTTGAGACAGAGTTTCTCTGTGTAGCTTTGGAGCCTGTCCTGGAACTTGCTCTGTAGATCAGGCTGGCTTCGAGCTCACAGAGACCCCCCTGCCTCTGTCTCCTGAGTGCTGGGATTAAAGGTGTGTGCTACCAATGCACAGCTATCTAGACAGTTTCAATCACTGTCTAAACTTGCTGTCCTGGACATCTACCCACTCTATGTAGGGTCCTTAGGGTCTGCACACTTGACAGGCAGGACAGCCCTTCATTCTTTTCCTTCCTTAGCACCCTGGCCTTGCCTCTTGGACCTTCTCCTAGTGAATAATTACTGACTTATCAGATGCCCCCTGTGGTCTGTGCTCCTCATACAGTGAATTTATCTTGGCCTTTGTAGCCTCGTTCTTGGCATGTCATAGACACTCAGCAAACATTTGAATAGTTATTAGCTTTTAATAATACTTGGAGATGTTTTAAAGGCATGATTTATAGGCAGTAAAACATGTGTGTAGTGTGACATTTCATTCCACTCTTAAATCAGACCTGTCACTATGTGTGTGTGTGTGTGTGTGTGTGTGTGTGTGTGTGTGTGTGTGTATTTGGGGGGGTATGTGTGGTATGTATAGGTGTGGGTGTGTATTGGGGAGTCATTAGAAATTGAGATTGTAGGGACTAAAGAGCTAGTTCAGCAAGCAAAAGCACATACTGCTCCTACAGACAACCTAAGTTCAATTCCCAGCACCTATCTGGGTGGCTTATAGCTGCTTGTATATAACTCCATCTCCAAGGGGATTTGACTGCTCTGGCCTCAATCATTAACACTGAAACTTCTCACATAATTGCAAATTAAGAATCTTGATTTTCTTTTTCTTTCTTTCTTTCTTTCTTTTTTTTTTTTTTGCTGGGGATGGGGGCAGTTGAGACAGGGTTTCTCCATGTAGCTTTGTAGACCAGGCTGGCCTCGAACTCACAGAGATCCACCTGCCTCTACCTCCCAAGTGCTGGGATTAAAGGTATGTGCCACCACTATCTGTCTAATCTTGATTTTCTTTAAAGAAGGAAATTAAGAGTATAGGGCTCCTAAGATGGTTCAGTGGGTAAAGGCACTTGCCACCAAGCCAGACAACTTAAGTTTGATTCCTGGGACCCACATGACAGGAGAGAACTGACTCCTGTAAGTTGTTCTCCAACCTTCATGTGTACATGACACAATACACCTCCATTACACCCCCACAAAATAAATACATGTAAAAAATGAGTTTATAGATGGCTTCAGGTTAAAACTAATAACAAAATAAAAATAGTAAGTTTTCTAAGTTAGTGCCATTGATGTGAGGGGTGATTTGAAACCTGGTATATATGTATTCAGTGAGTCTTTCTACTTTCCTTAGTCATCAGGCCTAGAAGTATTCAGAGCATTCAGCAGCCATCGAAGAAAGGACGACGTCATCATGGCCTCAGTGTCCACTCATGGAAACCAAGAGAAAAGCCCCCACTTGCCACCACTGAGCAAGCAGGTATGTGTTAGCTTGAGATTCCAAGGAAAACTATCACACAAGACCATCACTAGATCCTGCCAATCATCTGACTCTGTGTGTGTGTTTGTGTGTGTGTGTGTGTGTGTTCCTGTACAAGGAGACCAGGGATTGATGTTCAGCATTTTCCTTAGTCACTGTACACACTTAAAATTCTTTGATATTTATTTATACATCATATATGCCACACCCATGCGCATGCCATGGCAAGTACATGGAGATCAGAGGACAATTTACAGGAGTCATGAGTCATTTCTTTCCTTTTACCATGTGGTACAGTATATTGAACTCAGGTCATCAAGCTTGATAGCCAGTGCCTTTACCTGCTGAGCCATCTCACTAGCCTTCACTTCATTTTCTGAGACAGGGTCTCTCAGTAAACCTGGAGCTCTCTGATCCAGCCAGACTAGCTAGCCAGTAAGTTACAGGTACACCTCTGTCTCAGTTTCTTTGGTACTGAAGTCACCGACACATGCCACCACACCCATCTTTTCAAGTGGTTCTGGAGATCCAAAGTATTCCCCATGTTTATGTGAAGGGTACTTTAGCAACTGAGACAGCTCCTGAGCTTCAGACACTTTTTCTCAGCCTGGCCTTTTTTCAGATGGATGCAGGGAAGCTGGAGTGAGGAGGAAAATATTCAGGCTCTCTTAAAAAGCCTGTTAAGATTTTGTTTGCAAACTCCTTCCTTTACTCTTTTCTGTTCAGAATCCAGTTTCACTCTCTCACCACACCCAGTGGTGACTGAGCAGGTATACCAAGGCAGAGCAAAGCTCTGGCTTGTCCCTAACAGAATGACACAGCACCTCATCTTCTCGCTTTTGTTTCCCAGGGTGATTATTCTGAACATATGCTGCTTTCAGCATAGCAGGATCCATAATGACTAATTAGCCATCAGATTGAGAGCCCACATGCTAGCTTGTTAAGAATGGGTATTGTAATTCGGGAGCATATGGATGAAAAGGGGAGCAAGTGTCTCCTGGTTACTGGAGTCCCTGTTCTCTGGAGTCAACTTTTCAAGCTAGGCTTGGTTTCTGGGAGGAGAGAGCATTTAAGCAACAAAGTACAGGAGAAACAGACAAATAACAACAGGTCACGAGGAGAGGCATTCAGACACCTTAGCTGCCCCTGTGAAATAGAGAACTGTAAAACATTCATGGCACTACTGTAAAAGATCTCCCAGGCCCCACTTGGACCCCACTTGCTGATCTTGAGTGCTGGACTCCCAGAAGTTATGGTGGCCAGATCTGAATGCATGTGTTTATTATCCTGTGCACGATGGGAGGTTTTCTTCATTTTTGCCATGGCTACAGAGAGGACAAGAAACAAATACAGATATGGCTTGATTTACAATGGAATGTTGTCTCAAAAAATCCACTGTAAGTCGAAACTGTTGTTGGTTTAAAATGCTACTGGGAATCCTAGCACTATGGTCCACTACAGAGTGTTGTGGATATGATCTTGTGATCTCACTGCTGACTTGAAGCTGTGCCTCTGTGCTGCTGTCTGGCATCACGAGAAAATACCGTGCTGCATATCGTTCATTTAGGACAAGTTCAAACTTCAAAATGTAGTTCCCACTGAATGTGTATCACTTTCAGAACATGTGTCTTCATTAGGGCTTCTGACTAAAAGCAAGTCAGGGAAGGAAGAGTTTAATTGGCTTACACTTCCACATCACAGTCCATCATCAAAGAAGTCAGGACAGAAACTCAAGAAGGGCTGGGACCTGGGGGCAGGAACTGATGCAGAGGCCATGGAGGGGTACTGTTTACTGGCTTGCTCAGCATGGCTTGTTCAGCCTGTTTTCTTATAGGATCCAGAACCACCAGCCCAGGGGTGGTCTACTCACAATTAATGTGGCCTCCCACATTAACCAATCCAGATCTTATGGAGGCATTTTCTTAATTGAGGTTCCCTCCTCTCAGATGATTTTAGCTTCTGTCAAGTTGACATTAAACTACCGAGCACAGTATGCTAAAGTAAACTAACAGTCTGAACCACTGGGTTGGGGAGATGGCAAAATGATCAGGGAATTGGTAAAATGCCTGAATCACAAGTTCAGATCCCCAATACCTACATAAAAATCCAGGTACGACACATCTGTAACCCTAGTACTAGGGAGACCGAGGTAGAGGATCCCTGAGGCTTGCTTGCCAATCAGACTGACTGGATCAGTGAGCTCCGAGTCAAATGAGAGATGCTGTTTTTAAAAACAAAAGAAGAGAACACACACACACACACACACACACACACACACACACACAGAGAGAGAGAGAGAGAGAGAGAGAGAAAACATGGAAAGAGACATTCACTGTCAAACTCTGGCCTCCACACATCTGCATGTATACTTACATACACACACACACACACACACACACACACACACACACACACACACACACAAATATGAATCACTAAGTCAGAGACCATTTGTATTTATCCTGGAAATGGGGAGGAGTGCTTGCTCTGAGGATCCATAGTATAGATAGTACCAACAGTTGCCTGTCCCACTGGTGTGCATTGCCATGGCTCCTGATCTTTGTTAGCCACACTGACCTCTGTTTTCCTCCACTGCGTTTGCAAGGAGGTGCAGAGAAAGGGAGAGGTTACCAGCTTGCACTATCACAGAAGCAGAGGCACCACAGGGTCCCTCCATGTCAGTGTGTCATTGTGTGTGTTTGCCGAGTGTGAAAATGATACCTGGTCCTTGAGTACTCAAGAAATGGTGACCAGCATCCACATTGATAGCCACAAGCAAACAGTCTTTAAAAAAAAAAAAAAAAAAAAAAAAAAAAGTGGCAAAGCCGGGTGGAGGGGGCGCATGCCTTTGATCCCAGCACTCGGGAGACAGAGGCAGGCGGATCTCTGTGAGTTCAAGACCAGCCTGGTCTACAAGAGCTAGTTCCAGGACAGCCTCCAAAGCCACAGAGAAACCTTGTCTCGAAAAACCAAAAAACCAGAAAAAAAAAAAAGTGGCAAAATCAACAAGTCTGTCTTCCCAGCAGATGCACCATTGAGCTGGAGCTTAAATAGGCAAAGGAACAAGGCATCATTGTGATTACCGTGAGCCCTGGACAGTGTGGAGCAGAGCGAGGACCTGGTGCTTGCAGCACTCAGCCTGGGAGAGCTGTTCTGCACACCCTTGTCACTGAACCACCCTGGTCACTGAACTGCCCTATCTCTCAAGCAGAAATTCCACCTTGTTCAAATCTATATAGCAGGGCCAGCTGGAAAGCAGTGGCGAGTGGCCACTGTTCTGTGCAGGCAACCAGCCAAGTGCAAGAGACATCCCATTAATCCAGAGGAAACATGGTGAAGACATTTGCGACTTCAGTTTTATATTGTCTGGCTTTTGTTTATTGGTTTTACTTTGAGATAGGATCTCACTATTTAGCCCAGGCTGGCCTTGTACCCAGGATGCTCTGGCCTCAACCCCTCTGGAGGCTTGAGCTCAGTTAACCCACAGTGTCTTTCCCTACAGAGCCTGTTGTTTTGCCCAAAATCAAAACTGCACATCCACAGAGGAGAGATTGCCAAGATTATCCGAGAGTGTCAAGAAGAAAGTTTCTGGAAGAGAGGTACTCACACCTTCTGGGGGTTAATGAATAACTTAATAAACAACCATTTAACAACAATGTTCAATTTAATAAACATATTAAATAAAAATTAACTATTGATTTAATAATTAATGTTGCAACAATAGAATACCTCCATGTCCTATTAGAATAGAATCATGATGACCAATTAATTTTGAGCATGAATTTTACTTAAGTCCCTAAAGAACTTGGGTATTTATGGGTGTTTGAATTTTGAATCCATGCTATTCTCTTCAGGCAGAGATAATATGCAGTTATCACATACTTTTCCTCACCCAGTAAAAACAGATGCATGTGTGACTCTCCCTTTCATGGAAGCAAGAACACAGGCCAAAAATATTATATAACACGTCTTACTGCCACAAAATAGACCTCCATAAATTCCACCAGAGGTGGTATCAGGTTCATCTGGGCTTCAGCCCACAGCCTCACATACAGGGAATCCCTCAGAATTGCTTGTTGATTTCTGAGGAAGCTGGCTTCGTCCATCAATACTCTTCTCTACGTTACTGTTTTCTGCTGAGTTGCTTCCTCATCCCGGGATTGCCTTACATAAGACAAGGCTGGGAATTCAGGCTGTGTTAACATCTCTTTTGCTTTAATAAATTCATAATTTGACATTTGAGAGTGGCATAATGGAACTTATTCATCCAGCCCAGGACTTTGTACATTAATGACAGAGGCTTATTAAGACTTTGCAGTATTCTTGATATCATAAACCATTCACAGTCTGCATCGACCACTTAGAATTTGACATTCACCATGCATCACTGTGATTATTGACTTTTTTTTTCTAGAGTCTCGTGTCTTTTCTGATAACCTCTGAGCCAGTAGTTTAACTGGCCTGGCAGATTCACATGTTAGTGTGGCCCATTAGCCTGCCATCTGGGAAAAACCCGGCTGCTATCAGACTCACCTTGGTTGCTAGGAAGGCTGTTTGCTTTTGGGAGAGGCCATTTGACACATTGTGGGAGAACTAGAAACCCTTTATGCCAAGCTCAGTTGACTGCACTAAAAACCTGAACTACACACTGCATGTGCTAAGCAAGAACAGAGCCTGTTTATAACTGTCAATGTGCCTCTTCAGGCAGATAGCCAACAGTGGGACAAAATGTTGTGAAACACAAATATCAAAACAGAAACAACAGGAAACTGTCCTAGATTGAAACAGATTGAACATTCAACACAATGCATAACCCTTGGTCTTCCACACTGGAAAAAACCCTGCAGCTATGAAGGACATTCTTGGACTAGTTGGAGAGATTGGAATATAGATTGTGGATTAGTTAATATCATTCCTGTTGAGTCTGAGTATTCACATGGGTATTTCTTGACTATGCTGGTGGTATGGTGGTTGTTCAGGGGACAGTGACTTGATTTTAGAAGCTACCTGTTAAAATATTCAGTTATAAAGAGTGATGGTGTTTGCAAATCTCAAGTGGCTCAGAAAATAAATAAATAATGACAGAGATACAAAGCAAAATATAGAGATGTATCCAGTAATAAATCTGTATTTAATGCATCTAAAAGAAGGCTCTACAGAAGTTCACGGTGTTGCTTTTCAAAATTTATGTAGGATTCAAAATAGCAAAATATATCTGGGTGGTGGTGATGCATGCCTAGAGTACCAGCACTCAGGAGGTAGAGGCAGGCAGATCTCTGAGTCTGAGGCCAGCCTGATCTACAAAAATGAGTTCTAGGACATCCAGGACTACACAGATAAATTCTGTCTCAAAAAACCAAGGAAGAATATATATACATATACAGACATAGATATAGATATATGTGTGTATGTATGCAAAAGTAACACCCAAGCTTAGCTGTATTTACAGCTAAGTGAATACACACTAAGAGACCCATGTCGGATGTAGCCATTGGAATCATATGCATAGTGAGTGTTCAGTAAAGATGGATGCCAGAGATGGAGTTGAATATGGAGTGTCCATTTAGATTAATGTTGTGCATCAGGCTGAGCTATTAGGATAACTCCCAAGAAAATTCTCCATGTAGTTTTAAAGAAATGTTTGTTGAATAGTAACATACATAGTGAATAAAGCTGAGTGTAGTGGCGCATACCTTTAATCCCAGCACTCGGGAGGCAGAGGCAGGTGGATCTCTGTGAGTTCAAGGGAGGCCTGTTCTTCACAGTGAGTTCTAGGACAGCCAGGGCTACATGGCTGTCTTGGGTGGGGGAAGAATAAAACTCACTGCTAAATTAGGCAAGAAGAAAAAAATCTTAGAATAAATATCCCTGATTTCTAGGCGAGGGGCTGAGTTGTTTGTCTTCTCAAATTATATCTGGTGAAGATGTGCATGCATGCATGCACGTGTACTATGGTTTACATGTGGAGTTAGAGGATAGCCTACAGGAGTTAATTGGCTCCTCCCGCCATGTGGGTCCTGGGATCATACTCAGGTCACCACACTTGGAGAAGTGTTTGTACCCATTGGGCAATCTTGCATTTCCCAAGGGACCATGTGTTAAGATACTAATATTGAGGGGCATTTGTTTGTTTGTTTTACAGCTCTGCCTTTTTCTCTTATAAGCATGCTTGTCACCCAGGGACTTGTCCATCAAGGTAAGAGTCAGTATTTACTAACACTCAGAGAGCCCAGTTTTTGGTGGCCTTCCCTGCAGCCCTTGAGCATTTATTGGTTGAAGATTTTTGCTTCATTCAGGCTTTTGCTTGTTTTTAGCTAATATAATGAGTCTTTTTCTGTCCTGCCTTCCAGCTCCCAAATAAGGACATGAAGACTTCTTAGTTATTATGAAAGCTCTGCCTATAGCTTAGGCTTGTCCCACTAGCTCTTATAACTTAAATTAACTCAGTTATATTACTCTACATCCTACCACATGGCTTTTTACCTCTATTCCATTCTATGTCTGACTTCTTCTTCTTCTGGCTGGCTTCTCTGCCTCTCTTCTTCCTAGAGTCCTGTCTGTGCCTGGAAGTCCTGCCTAGCTATTGGTCATTTAGCTCTTTACTAAACCAATCAGAAGACACCTTGGCAAAGGCACATCTTCACAGTGTATAAAAAGATTATTCCACAACAAGCTAAAGTTTCTGTCTCTACAAAAGAACTCATCTTTGGAAAGACTGAATGTATTTAGTTACTTGATAAAGGGAAATTCGCATTCCAGGTGCCATTAAGGTTGTTCGATAACTTTAAAATGGATTATTATTGACTTTTTATCTAAAGAGGGATTAAATGGAAAGGGGAACCAGGAGGCATAAGTAGAAAGACAAAAGGTTTGGGCTCAGCATGACTGGTTTTGGCCAGGATAGGGCCATGAATGTCGTGGCTACTGTTCCTGTTGCCATGACAACAAAAGCAGCTTAAGGAAGGAGGGACTTATTTTGGCTCATTATTTAAGAAAGGATGTAGTAGGGAAAAGGATGGTGGCAGCACAGTGAGGCACCTGGTCACATTCTGACTCTAATCAGGAAGCAGAAAGTGGACAGGAAATCCAGGTAACACCCATCTCCAGAGACCATTTCCTTCAATGAGGCTCCATTCCTAAAGTTTCTATAACCCAAACAGCATCCCAGATGGGGACCACATGTTCAAACACATGAGCCTGTGGAGGTCATCTCACATTCAAACTACAACATGGAACTACAGAGTGTGTAGGGCCTAGCGTCTTCAGAAAAGAAAGCAGCCCGCTTAAGGACTGCAGTTACCACCTTGGCTTGTCCCTATACTTAGTTTGGATCTATGACCTCAAGACCTGTAAGATAATAAATTCCTATTATTTTAAGGCACTAATCTGGTGGTCATCTCTTGTGGCAGACACAGAGACTCCAACAGTGCCTATCTCTTAGAGAAGTCCCTGTGTCTCTCAGGAGACCCGACCCTCTGTAAGACCATCTTCTCAAATGTTACTAATTGCCATGATTTAAAAAATTTCTGTTGTCATGTAATTCAATCTTGTTTGTAATTCAAATAAAAAAGTAAAAAAAAATGTCTGAAAAAAAACCTTTAGTAAAGATAGATGTCATTGAAACAAGTTAAAAAAAATGTCTGAAAAAAAAACCTTTAGTAAAGATAGATGTCATTGAAACAAGTTAAAAAAAATTAATGTCTACAAACATGAGGGGAAAATATCCTGTTTCTTTTTCTTGAAGATCAGTATGCCACATATCTAGGAGAATTCCACTTTGGATGCTGTTATCCTTATCCATGAATGCCTTGTATGAAATATAATTCCAATTTTATAACTTGAAGACAGCCTTTTTGTAGAAATGAATTTGCCAGTTGCTACCAAGATTTTTGTTAAATTATTTTTGATGCCAAAATATGGCCAGAATCTATGGAATGAGGTCTTCTAAATATCCACCCACCCCAATTCTACCCAACCTCTTGCATCTGTGCTTTTAGGGTTGTATGTTAGTTTCCTACAGCTGCCAAAAAAAATCACCGTGAGCACAATGGCTTAAAACATCGTATATTTATTATTCAGAGGCCAAGATCAGAATAGGTCTCACTTGGGGCTGGAGCAATGGCTCAGTGGTTAAGAGCACTGGCTGCTCTTTCAGAGTTCCTGAGTTCACTTCTCAGTAACCAGCTGGTGTCTCACAACTATCTAAAATGGGATCTGATCCCCTCTTCTTTATGTGCAGATGGGGCACTCACACACATAAATATATAAAAAAAATTTTTAAGAAGGTTGGATCTCACTAGGTTAAAATCAAGATAGGGGTACAGTTGTGTTTCTCCTGGAAGTTCATCTTTTTCCCCTCTCCAACTTCGAGAGGCTTCCTACACTCCTTGGCTGGTGGCCTCTCCCTATGTCTACAAAGCCAACTATGTTGAACCAAGATTTTCCACTTCTGATATCTTTAGTGCCAACCAGCAATCACTGTGGTTGTGTTTAATCTACCTGGCCCATTCAGGACCAACCCCCTACTTTAAAGTTACCTGAGTGGGCAACTTCTATTTTATACCTTACTTCCCTTCTGTACTATAACATATCTAGAGTTACCAAAGATTCTGGTGTGGACATATATAGAAGCTAAACCGCCTAGTGCCTAGCACAAGCTACAACGTTTTCATTTAAAAATTGTGATGGGCTAGACATGGTGACACCTGCCTTCTATCCCAGCACTTGGAAGCAGAGGTGTGTAGATCTTTGAGTTCAAGGCCAGCCTAGTCTACAGAGCAAGTTCCAGGACAGCTGGGACTACATAGAGATACCTGTCTTAATTAATTAATAAGAATTAAATTGTGACGTATATGCTGTGAACCTCTGAGTTGAACTTGCTCTGAGTTACTAATAAAAGTAGAGCACGGTAACCAGTCTCTTTGAATCAATTTATATTGGCCTTTAATAGTGGCTTTTGTATTGTCTTCCACTTTTTGTTTGTTGTTTGTTTGTTTGTTTGTTTGTTTTTGGGACAGGGTTTCTCTGTGTAACAGTCCAGGCTGGCCTAGAACTCACTGAGAACTGCCTACCTCTGCCTCCCAAGTGCTGGGATTAAAGGCATGCGCCACCACTGTCTGGCTGTTTTCCACGTGTTAAAGCCAGTATTTACCATTTTCCTGAGACAGCTTCTGGGGGTTAACTTCAACCACAGGTTGAATCTAACTCTTCTAAAACCATTTCTTCAGATTAATAACATGCACATTTTAGAAATGTTATATCTTAAGCTTGGATGTTTTCTTTACAAATTTAAATAAATTATTAAACAAAATAATACATTTCTATATTTCTCTTCAGGTTATTTAGCTGCTAATCCAAGATTTGGATCATTGCCTAAAGTTGCTCGTAAGTCCTAAAAACAGATTTGGGTTGGGGAGGTAGCTAGATGGTTTGAAGCACCAAGGCCCCAAGTTCATTCCCTAACATTAAATAAATGAAAAAGCAGATTGATTTTGACAAAGTTTGTAAGAACGACAGCTACAGCTGAAGTCTGTTACCGGGACTGACTCTTACAGAGAGCACTCTAGGTTTTCTACCACCGGCCTGCAGTTTCTTGGGTCATCCCAACACTCTCTGATCTGCAGGGTAACAGCAGGGACTTAGGCCACTGTCATCTCTAAATCATAAGCAAAGACTAGCAAGATATATACAGTTTTCTCTCAGTATCCGTGGGAGAGAGGCCCCGGGATCCACAGGTACCCATATCTGCAGGGGCTTAAGTCCCTCTTATAAGTGATGGGTGTTTACATCTAATGATGCATACCCCTCTGTTTAAAGACAATCTCAGGTACCAATAACACATGATACAGTGCAAATACTATATGCATGGTTGTGGTATGACATGCTTGGGGAATGATACCTTAAAGGCCTGTACATGTTTAAAATAGATGCAGATTTTTTTTCTCAAATATTTTCTTCAGTCTGTTGTTGGTTAAACACACAGCTATGGAACCTGTGAGTGTGGAACCAATGACAATAAGGTTGTCAACAGCAGGTTGAGTGGCAGGTTCATTAGGGGGGCTATATTTTATTCTCCTGGCTTGACCCATCTTAAAAATACTATCTAGACTGTATATTAAAAAGGGAGTAACTTTTTTTAAACCAGAGACATTTTAATAGGAAATTTACTTCGAAGTCTGGGTTTCTTCTCCTTGGTGCATGCATATAGATGGTTTGTGTTAGAAGAATTAGCCAGTTTACAAGTGAGTCTTGTTTGCAGCCAGAGGAACAGATTCAAGATTTCTCCTACAAGAGGTCCTCTTCTCCATGACTTATTTTAAAGAGTCAAAGGGAATTAAAAGAAAAGCAAACAACAACAACAACAAACAACAAAAAAAAACAGGCCAAAAGGATTCACCACCCTGGGACATAAAGCTACCTGACCCAGACCCACCCTTCCTCCCCCGGCCGCTTCAGCTGTTGGTTTGACAGCTGGACCATGCCCTAGATGCCCACTCTGGGCCTGCCCCATGTGTGCTCTGCCCTGGTCCCTCCTCATGTCAGCTCAAGCAGAGATCAGAAAGTCTCCAGTGTTCAGACCTGCTCTCAGTAGAGTATTGTTTTAATGTAAAATGACCGGTGTTAGGAAGGTGGTTAATGGACAGATTCTGAGCTTTCTCATTAACTGTCTGTGATTCCTAACCTGCTTTTACAGTGGCTGGTCTCCTGGGATTTGGCCTTGGGAAGGCTTCCTACATCAGAGTGTGCCAGAGTAAATTCCATTCCTTCGAGGATCAGCTCCGTGGTGCTGGTTTTGGTCCCGAGCACAACAGGTTTGTAGGACTATAATGGTGGGACTATAATGAAGATAGTAAGTAGAGTAGCTGGGTATAATGGTGATGCTGTTAATCCCAGCCCTTGGGAGGCAGAGGCAGGAGGATCTCTATGAGTTTGAGGCCAGCTTGGTCTACTTAGCTCCAGGACAGCCAAAGCTATGTAGTGAGACCCTATCTCAAGAAAAGAAAAAAAGTAAAATGAAAGACTACTTTCTGTAATATCAAGCACATTAACAATTTTAAGAAAAAACTCTTTTTTAACCCTCAAGCTTTGATTTATTACTACTCAACTTCAATAATTATGATTTAACTTAATCACCCATTTCACTTACTCAACATATATTTAATGAGCACCTACTACAGCCTAGGCCTTGTATCAATCTCTGTGCAAGTCCTTTGTGAACAGATGTGTCCACTGTCATTGCACAGTTGCTCATCATTGAAACCTTCTTACTGGAGAACTTCATAGAGCCTTTAATATCACACACACACACACACACACACACACACACAGAGAGAGAGAGAGAGAGAGAGAGAGAGAGAGAGAGAGAGAGAGAGAGAGCACAGAGAGAGTGTGTCTTGATAGCTATACTTATTCTCCATGGGACATAAGCAATAGGGCTAGAGTTTACAATGTGACCTGTGTTCCTAGGGGACTTAGGCTGAAAGCCAGCCTACCACAGCTTTCTTAAACTTAAATCTTCAGCTTTCTCATCTGTCCAAAATGATGATCAGAATAACTTTCCCAGGGTGTTACGAGGAAGGAAAATGCTTACTCATGACACTCAAACAAGTACTATTTCTACTGTCATGTCACAGGACTAGTTGGGGACATATTCCTCTAAAGACCCCTCACTTGTCACAGTTGGTTTCTTTTCTTGTTTTCTTTTAGAGAGCATCTCATGTAGCCCAGGCTAACCTGAGACTTGCCTCACAGTCCAAGGATGACCTTGAACTTTGTATCCACCTCCCTGAGTGCTGGTGTTACAGGTACACGCCTTTTGTGTTTGCCTGTACAACACCAGCACTGTTAACAACCTGTTGTATGTGGTGCTGGGCATTGAACATGGGGCCTTGTATATTCGAGAAGCCCTCTACTAGGCCTCTCACAATGTGTTCTATTTGAGGGGCAGCAGCAAAAACAATATTGGGCTGGATGACAAGGTCAAATTGTCTTCCTGGCTGTGTGTCATTAGAATGCTACATACGGTCCCTGGTCTGGTAGAAGTGGATGGACTTTAGCTATCAGTGACATACTGTGCAGAGACTCTCTGAGAAGACATTGGTGGCTGTAGGAAGATGAGACTTAAGTCTCTCAGTTGTTTCCAAACCCTATATATATATAGGGAAGCATCACACTTCCCTTTATAGTTGCAAGGTCGGCAGAGAGGCATTAACTATGTTTATGTACAACTCCAGGATTGTTCCATCCTTGCAAAGCTGTGTTTTGGGGTCAACTTACAGAGTCGTTGGCCCCAAATTGAGATGTGTACAGGGAAAATAGGGAGAGGCACTGTCAGCAAAGGAGGCATTGTATTGACTCTTTTCTCTTCCACTTCCATTTTGGGGCTTTTTCTTGCTGTTAATCCAACATTGGGTTGTGGGACAATGGTGAAATCTGCATTTTCCAGACAGTCTCTCGACATTGCTCTATACTTCATGTACACAGAAGGAGGTGGTTGAGGTTAGATGGAGTCTGGGGCCCCTTTCAGATTAGCATACTGTAGCTGTTTTGCCTGCTTAATTCTGGCATCAAAAGCCGCACTGTGGGCTGTCAGTGATTCGTGGTAACCAGCGGCTAAGCTCTGTGAGAAAGGCCACTACCCTCTCATCTCAGAGACCATTCACAAAACCATTTGATTTTCTAGTGCAGGAAATGGATGGCAGGTTCCTAACAAAGTTGCAGTCCAAGAGAAGGTGATGTGTACTTTTGGTTTTTTTTTTAGACGAGACTGTCACTATACTGCCCAGCCTGGCCTCCACTCAGCTCAGCTCCCAAGCTCTGGGACTAACGGTGTGTACCACCACACCTGGAACATTTTATAATTTATTTTTTGTTGTGGTAGAAATGACTCTGGTGATTCAAGGTCAAAGAGTCATGATGTTTATTTAGCTTATGTGTGACTCTGTCCACAAATACAACCATTGATGGCTCAGTCAAACTCAGCATGAGGACCTGAGTTTGGTTCCAAGCATCCACATAAAAGCTGAGCGGAGAGACCCTGTCCCCCAAAATACGACAGCCAATGTTGACCTCTGGTCTCCTTAGACACCCACATAGTAAGTACACCCTATGCACATGTGCACACGCCCATGCAAACACATACATGTGGCACAGACACACAAGAAGAGCTCCCATTGTCAAAGTATGAGTCACCACCTGTTTTTGCTTCTCTTCCAGGCACTGCCTGCTTACATGTGAGGAGTGCAAAACCAGACGCGGATTAAGCGAGCAGAAAGGGCCCCAGCCATCCCATTCCTAAACTGTGTATGTGGGTTTACAATGATCTCTAAACCTCTGAATATGTGTACATTTAGACTTTCAAATGTTCTTTAAGATAATCTACTTCTGTTGAAACAGAAACCTTGTAACTCTTGCGTTCCTTTGAAATGCTTGCAGTGGAAGGCTCTGGGTAGACCTGAGCATGGCACGTTCTTCTGTTCTTTAAGAACAAGCAGGAAATGAAGTTAACACCCCACATAGCTTAGCACTTCCTGAGAGAATTTTGAGTAGCTTCTGGGTTAGTCCTCCCTGCAATTCTTTCACTCTGCTTCTCCCCCAGACCAGTGATTTAAGTTCTCTGCCAGGGAACATGAATGAATGATCTGGAAGTTAGTTGGGAAGCCATGGCCCAAAGAAAATTCATGTATGTGGAGGTAGAAATCCAGGAAAGATTGTGTTTTAGTACTAGATGTCCTTCCTAAGGTCTAGGGGCTGAGATCTATAACTCAGTGGAAAACATTTCCTGTGACAGGGTCACCATACAAACCAGCTGATGTGGACCACATGACTTGGTGGCTCATCACAATGGTGGAGCTGTAAAAGTGCCCATAATCTATCTGTAGGTGGCCCACTTGGCTCATGGGTTCATTTTCAACTCAACAGCGGGTTCTTTTACCAATTATTTGTGTCCCCAGGGATGAAGGACAACTCCCTAACCTGTTCTCCCATAGAACAGCACCAAGGACTGAAGTAATTCTAAAAATGAGAAATGGTTGGGGCTTTCTAGAGCTCAGAGGCAGCCAGTGCAGTGGCATGAGTTGTACTTCTTCTCCAGACAATCTGTTACATGGAAAGTGCAGTTCTTCCTTTTTGGAACCTTTCTGCTTTATGGCTGGTTGGCTTAACACTTTGAGAAAGTTACCCTTACATCTTTGCGTCTTCTCAGGAAAACGCTTTGTCTGCAAATCACCATTTAAATATAGGTTATGTTTGTGTGGGGTAGTGGGTGGGGTGCTTTTACTCAATATATCTACAAGCCTGGACCATAGAGGTAAAAAGGGAAATTTCACCTGAGGTTAATATTTGATGTAAACAAATTTTAAGCATCAAAATCATGTGGGAGTTTATTTTTGTGTGAACGTTAAACGAGGTTAATATTTGATGTAAACAAATTTTATTTTAAGCATCAAAATCATGTGGGAGTTTATTTTTGTGTGAACGTTAAATGAATGAAATGGAGTGGTTTGACAGAGCTGATTTTTCTACGACACATCCTGTTTGACGGTCAATAAAATTCTATTCTGAAAAATCAAAAGACAGAGCCGGCATGCTTTTACTTCTTCAGTTGTGTTGGGAGTTGAGTCCAGAACTTTGTAAATGCTAGACAAGTGTCAGAGGCACAGAGAGGTCCTTGTGCTCACAGGTAAGCATGAGGGAAGCCAGAATGTTAAACAGGGGGTTGTTCCTTCAAAGGGAGGAATGCAGAACCTGTCATCCACCCAGAATGCTGGGGACAGTCGTGGTTAATAGCCTGGTGACCTCAGCACTGCATGGCCAAGACCACACCAGATCCTCTCTCAGACCCTTATTGTGAGGGTTTGCCATCAATCTATAACCACATCTTTATGGAAGGTGTCACGTGTACTTTACAAGAATTCAGATACAGTTGCCTCTGATCTTTCTTTAGCTTTGTTCCTCAAAGAGATTTATGTGTGCTTTATTGTGCACAAAGGGTTGACTTAATGATCACCAGGAAAGTTTCTACCAAGTTGTGCTATGCTTAAAGATGCCTACAATAAACTACTGGGGGCCAAACTCCCAAAGTTTGAACCAACACTGGCTACTTAGTTGTATTGAACTGAGCTACCTTCTTCCCTCCCTCAGATCGTTACCCTGATGTCTGTGGTGGTCCCAGAGATGTCCCCACCACACACACACACATACACTGCAGACAAGTGCTCTACCAATAAACTACACTCTAGCCCCTGGCTTCTTGAATACAATTTACCCTCAGCTCTTGGCCACAATTTAGAATTTGGCACAATCACTTCTGCCATACCAGAAAGATATCTCTCAGGAACCAGAACATTGTCACATTGCTAAGCACAGCCAATCAATGTTACAAATCAGTCTCTGGCTACTTGGGGAAAGACATGAGAGTCACCACCATCAAATAGAAACTTTTCTTTTAATTGTTGACATCTTTATAGTTCTCATTCAAACTGGGTTTATTGCTTGGACTGTCTGCTTTCCGTTAAGTGGATAATTTATTCCTTGAAGTGGTTTACTATGTCGATCTGCCTTGGTGTGAGAACAAGTCTACAGGGGAAAACTGGAAGGTTGCCCAGTAGGTCTTGATCATTCCACTGTGGGTCCTCAGAGCCCACCAGGAAGCAGGCATCTGGAGCAGAAGTCTGCTTCAGTGTGTCAGGAGCAGAGTTTGTCTTTCACATTTAACAGTCCCCAGCACTCACCATCCTAAGCCACATCTCAACCCAAATCTTCTGTTTTATGTGTTTTTATGCAAACATTTTTTGAACCGTTTCAAGACCTTACTGGAGAATCAGCTAGAATCACACTGGATTGCACTGTGAGCCAATCATACATTGAAAGTGTGTAGTCTCTGCTGTGACCCCGCCCAAGGTGTGGAGTAGAAGAGTGAAATCAACCAATCCACCTTCCTGGACACTCTCACCACCTGCTCTGAGCTTGAGATCCACTGAATGCTACCAGGCTCCATCCACCTCTGCATGCTGCTGGCAGGTCACACTCCAGGACTGCCATGTGAACTTCCAGCGGGGAAGAACATCTGTTGGCCTTGCTTTGGTCCAGCCCCTACCCCAGCAGCTTTGTTCTGCAGAAGAGCCCTGCTTTGTCCCTCACCACATCTGGAACAGAAACTCCTTCTGGACAGGATGCTTGCCTTTGGGATTCCTCTGAATCCCCATGCAGGGGTCCTGCAGATCTAAGCCCAGCAGCTTTGTTCTGCAGAAGAGCCCTGCTTTGCCCCTCACCACATCTGGAACAGAAACTCCTTCTGGACAGGATGTTTGCCTTTGGGATTCCTCTGAATCCCCATGCAGGGGTCCTGCAGATCTAAGTGCTTTGTAAATATGTGTCAGTCATATTTGGTGATTCCCCAGCAGCTGTACTCTTCTTTCACCTGACAGCCTTTACATCCCAGAAAACATGTTTCTGGAAATTCTGGTTAAGGGGCCTCAGTCTTCTCAACCACTCTAGTGGGTTTCCAGGCCCACCATACCCTGGTCTAGGGAGACCATTCCATCTGGTGTACTCCGAAGTGTAGTGAGAAGTTCAGAAAGCAAGATGGTAAGATGGTGATGACAATGATAATGATGGTGGTGATTCTGCTTCAGGCATTAAAATCATTAGCAAAGACCCAATGCTTCAAATCTGGGTTCCGACTTAATAGCTTCCTGACTTTGGGTTATTATTTACCTATTCAGGGCCCCAATTTTCTCATTCAAAATGGAAATCATATTATGCTTATGTTAAGTTATTCATGAAAATTAAATGAACTGATAATCACAAAATGTTTACAACAGTGGGGGCTGAGTAACCAATTGATGTAAGTCAGCTGTTACTGCTGTCACTGCTATTAGTGTGGCCTAAGATACGCCACTGTGGCATGCTTTGGGATAGGCTTTTACACATGGCCTACTTTTAAGGTCTTCTTCCCATTTTATGTGCACACAGTTGGCCATTCTGAACTGTACACTTGACCTCTTCAATTTCCCTGTGCTATTTTCTATTTGTTCTTTTCAACATCTCTGACTGGACAGGTGGGAATGTTATCAAAGTCTTTTTTTTTTTTTTCTCTCTAGATGAGTGTTTTGCCTGCATGTATTTATGTGCACCACATGTGTGCCTGGCATCCTTGAAGGTCAGAAAAGGGTGTCAGCTGCCCTGAAATTGGAATTATGAATGGTTGTGAGCCACCATGTGGGTGCTTGGAGTTGAACCCCAATCCTCTGGAAGAGCCATCTCTCCAGCGCCATTGTTTCCATTTTGGCATCTGAATATATGGTGTTCCTGGTAGGTGCTCCATTTTTATAGGCATAATGTTTTACAGGGACTAAGGTACTTCTTCAGGCCTTTGGAACAAATAAACTTTTGGGTGTGGGCTTTGTCAGGAGTCCTTTCTGAATATATCCTAAATAAAAACCTCAAATAATGACCTGCTTTATTAAGAGATATTCTCTCACCTCTACACATGGGTGGGAAAGGAGGAGAGTTCAGGGACAGATGGCGAAAAAGAGTGGACCTGGGAAGTGAAATGGGTAAGGACTATCAAGCTTAGTATGGTCAGTGACCCTAGCATTTCTGAGGTAGGGAAGATCAGGAAGTTCAAGGTCATCCTCCACTAACAGTGAGTTTCAAGCCAACCCCAGCTACAAAACAAAGCAATATAAAGAATATTTTTAAATGGGCTGGAGGGATGGGTTAAGAGCACTGGTTATTCAGTTCCCAGTTTCCACAGTATGGCTCACAAACAAAACACTCCAGTAGCAGGGGATCTGAATTTCTGGACTCCAGACATATATGCAGGCAAAACACTCATACAGGTGGCAGAGGCAGACAGATCTCTGTGAGAGAAACCTTGTCTCAAAAAGCAAGAACAGAAACCAAACAACAAACAGTAAGTCTTCCTTTATGGGGTTTTGCAAGTCACAAACATTGCCACAGTCCTCATGGTCAAGCTCAGATTTTGTTAATAACAAGGGTTTCTCAGTACCTACAATATATATAAAGCAACATATGAAAAATCGGGGTCCACTGATTAACAGGTAGTCCTACCTTCAAGGAGAAAGTAGAGGAAGATACAAACGAAAGGTGTAATGTAACCCATGTGTTACAGCTGACACTAGGGCAGTACTTACTTCAGCAGCCCGTTGAAAATTGTCACCAACTTTTCCACTCCCTACATTGCTGCCCTTTGTCAGCCATTTAGCATTTTCCTTCCTACTGTGAACAGGTCATTTGTCAAAAAAGAGGCCTTCTGTGTGTTCCCATGGCCATAAGATCATGAATAGTACTAGATTTAGAGGTGGTACCCTGTGAACCGTTACATCAGCTTCCCAGTTGGCAAGGTTGAGTTCCGGCTGTCAACCTCTTATTCTGCATCATTCCTAACAGCTCCGCTTTTCTATCAAACCCTACTGTAAAACTGGTAGCTGTAAGAGGTCCTGCATTTAGTTTAGGATCAAGCAGCAGGTAGATGCTGGCAGGACAGAGGAAACTGTAGTGTAATGGGACATGGACCCGGGGGTGGAGTGGTCCATGAAGGATTAGATTAAGGAAGAGTTCTTAGAAGCTGTAAATGAGACCCTTAAAGCAGACAAGTTCAACAGCATTTGTGTCTGATAACACTCCCAGGTAACATTAAACCAGGAGCCATCTGGCTTTTTTGCTCTCTCAGATGTCAGAGGGAGACATAAACAAATTACTCCATCTCAAAATGGAGTCTGGTGGAAAAAAAACAAAACAAAACTCTGCACAATCCTTTCTACTCTTCTCAATATCCTTGTGTTCAGAAATGGTGGCCAGGTAAAGCTGAACCCAAAGTGGGACATGATTTTTTTATTCAAAAAGGCTGGGGGCACAGTTTAGTGATAAATCATTTGCCTTGAATGTGCAAAGCTCTGGGTTCAAGCCCCAGCACCAGAAGGATTAAAAACAACTACAAAAACCACAAGTGTTTAAGGTCTCAAAAGATGACAATGCTCAAGACATTTCAAACAGGGACAGAAGCTAAGAGGGCTCAGCAGCCAAGAGCATGTCTGCTCTTCTAGAGGACATGGATTTAGTTCTTAGTATCCAAAGGGTGGTTCACAACCATCCATAAACGGCCTCCTGAGATCCAATGCCTTCGTCCATGGGCACCAGGCATGCATGTGATGGTACACAAAAAGGCAAGCAACACACTCACATAGATCTTAAATAAGACATTTCAAACATGCAAATGGTTCTTCTCTGCAGCTTCTTGGCCTTGCAGAACCAGCCCAAAGTGTTATTGGATCTTATTCTTATATGGAGTCCAACAGACATGAGAGGCTTGTGTAATAAAATGCCTCATATGTTGATCCATGAGAAGTCCAGGTTGTAGAAATGATTAAGGACAGCATGAGGCCTTTGGCTCCCTAACTCCCTGTGAGTGGGAGTAGACTTAGAAAACCCAATAGAAGCAAACAGGAGACCTTCATGGAAAAGAAAGATCTGGGGGCAGGGTCAAAAGACTGCCAACAATAACCCCAGGGAGTATACTTAAGTCCCATTCATAAGAAACAATATGGAACTG